TGGGATTACAGGTGCGAACCACCACACCCAGCTATTGCTTTGTTTCTGAAACATTCCTTCACCTCAAAAAAGCAAGTCAATTACCAACTTAATAAGTGTATCTGTTAGATGGTTACGTTTCCATTTTAAAAGCTGTAGATTTTTCTTACAATATATTAAAACAAGAGAGACCAATGTTTCCTATTTTTTGCATCTACTGTGCTATGAGCTTTTCTTACATACCTAATGTAAAATCTAATCTAAGTTTTAAGCTAACGACAAAAAAACCCAAAATAATGTAAGGACTTCATTTTGGAAAATGAAAACTGCAATGTTTCCTATCAAATACCAAAAGCTACAATACATCTTACATCCATTACTAACTACAACTAAAGTAATGTTAAATAAATACATACATACTTTTTTTAAATGTTGACTGTTTATCAAAACCAACAGGCTGTTTTGGAGAGGAAGAGAGTTCCTGCTCAACACTGTCCTAGAAAGGCAGTTAAAAAAAAAAAATTAGCGAACAAAAATTACAGTTAGGTAATAACACTCCACTGGAACTAAGCACTGAAACGAAAGTGTAAGGCTTCTTCCAAAGACCACTTATTTTCCCAACATAAGTAATGAAATAAATGCCTGAGTACAACTGGTCACCCCTAAAATCTAACACTAAGAATTAAACTGTCTTCAAGCCTTGCATTCACAGAACCCTCAAAACAAATTCTTAGTGCTTTAACCAAGATTAAACTTTCTCCAACTCTTATGTAATACTTGGACTAAGATTTGATCATGAACTGATTTTAAGAAAGTGACATTCATACAACAGAGATGGCTAGTAGGTCAATTTTTTATCATAAATAGGTTCATAAGCCTCAGAAACCAAAAGAGTCCTGTATGCAAATACTTAGTTCCCTGGTGTACCGAAGTCCACCCTATTTTTTCCTGATATTACCAGGTATTGAGGTCACAGTCTTCATTATTGCCTCATTTCCAAGGAGGACCTACTTACTGTGCACTGAGAAGCACCATCCACCCCTGACCCATTTATATGCAAAGATATGAGGGCTCTAAAAAGTTCATTACTTTTAAAAAAATAATTTGGTAAGTGTACGTTAGAAAAAAAAAGCTCAAGGTTAAAAAAATTATAAGGACCATTCCAGTGAAAGACAATTTTGTTAAATAATAAACTAATTTGGCTTTGTATATTTAGTCCTAGCCAGGCACAGTGGTGCATGCCTGTAATCCCAGCACTCAGGAGGCTGAGACAGGAAGATTGCTGAGTTTGAGGCCAGCCTGAGCTACACAGTGAGTGAGTTCAAGACCAGCCTGAACTACATAGTGAGACCCTGTCTCAAAAAGTAAAAA